ATATAATTTATTGCCTAATATAAATAAAATAGAAATCAATATTTTTTATTTGTTTATTGTTGTTGTTGTAAAAATCACATATAAATCCCATTTGTGTCTGTACAATGTTTGCACACCTGCACTGACCCAAGCACATCAAATCAGATCATTTGATCGTCTTCCTGTTTACCGATATATGAGCACATATTTGGGATGTAAAGAGACTGTGGTGTTCCCGCAGACAGAGTGATTGATCACATCATATTAGGGGTCGTTTGTGCATGGGGTAATTTTCTTTTGCTTGCCTCGGGCGATCCTCACATGTGCGTTTCCATGAAGTCTCCAGACTCCTTCTCTTTTCATCTGCAAGGATGACAACAATAAAAACGACAACATCGAAATTTACCTTTCCGAGACGGGATTTTGACAGGAAAAGCACTTAACGTAATTTCCTCCAACGCAATTAATCACAAACGGTTATGAAGATGCGCGATGAAAGCGGACGAATCATTGCAGAATAATTAATGTAACATGCCGTAATATGCCGCTTATTCAAGACTTGTGGCTGATGGATGCTGTTGTTAAATTAAAACACTGTTATTATGCAAACAAAATCATATAGTCTGTTATTTACTTAGACTCTATAAATCACACTACAGTGACAGACTAGGAATGAAAATGCAGATTTTGATAATTGTTGTGCGGAATGACATTTCTACAAGCGCTTATCAATTTTACAAACATATCAGTTTTAAAAAGCAGCATCTTTTTAAACTTACATTCAATTATTGCATTAGTTTATCTATTTGTATATAGCCCATTATTTTATGTGGGGTGAAAAAAGTGAATGTAGGTCAAATGTGGATTACTTTGTGATATGTTTGTATGTCTTTGGTAATGCTGTACTGTAATGCGTTTATAGGTTATGTTGTATATGCACATAATGTGTTGGGATATTGAGATCATGTGTTTAAAGGTTATGTATGGATCAGGTTATATTGCATGTTTAGATCCCGTTTGTATGTTGTGTGTGCTTTAAGCCCGTATAGACCTTCGCTTTGAACGAGGGACAACGGAGGAAAAAAAAGGTCTGTCTAGGATTAGTGGTCAGATTTCCTATTTCCCATACACTCCCAAGGTCTTGAACCCAATTAATGGCTAATAATTACCCAGGGAACTTAACTGTAGGTAGTTGCTTTCGCGGTTTCATTAGCTGTGAAGCGTACGTGTAAGGGCACATGCGTGCCACCACTCCAAAGCGCGCGATGGAATATATATATATATATATATATATATATATATATATATATATATATATATATATAGCCTATATATTTAAGTCACTTATAATCTGTAAAAAGCTTTAGTGTTCGATATGCGCATGCTTGTTTTACTGTTTACGTTGCCTCACCTCTCCATTCTCAAAGTGTTTACGGCAGCCACCACTATTGCCTTCTTTGATCATGTTTTGTTTCTACAGCCATTGAGTACCTTTGCCAATTTTCTAATTTCCCTCTTTACACACACACAGTGCGTTTACAACGAGAGTGAGGGAACTTGCCTGAAGCCTCGTCATCATGAAGTTGTGTTTACTTTGCCATTACATCCACTGTATTAGCATGCAAAGATCAGAGCGCAGGCGTAGTTGTCGCAACAAGTGGGTTTCCCCCCTGTGTGTTCCGACTGTGGCCACTGCTGGCTGGATATCATTTCACATATTGAGTGTGGTGAGATCCTATCAGTGCGTAACACATAAGCCGAGCCCTTTCCTACCATGAATAAAGATTTGGTTTCATTTGCTTTCGACGAACCTATAGCAAATAACAACAGAGACTTATCTCATCCATCTAATTCTAATCAGTTTCTTTTATAACGGTTAAACATTGTTTATCATTATTATTGTTTAGCATAAAATTCAGTATTGAATTTTATATACTTGTTATTTACACTATTGTTTTTATTATTGTCTGGCTATTAATAGTAATTTTTTTTCAAATAAATGTATTGTGAAATTAAACGATGTGTGCCGATTAATGACGGTATAAATTGTTGCAGTCTGACTCTGATTCCAAAAGTACCCTGTAGTTTTTTTTTAATTTTTTTGCTGACTTAATTTTTAAAAGTAGCCTCAACTTGGATCGAAGTCATTTGAATTTAAAATAAAAAAAACTATTTTTTTTATTATTAAAGCAATGTTATACATAACTTATTGATCATATTTTTTTTTTGCAGTGTCACCTCATAAATAAAAATTTGTTAAAATTCCTTTTTGTAAGTTTAACCCAAAAATTTGTATAAAACACTACATTTTAAAGTCTTATTAGAATTAATTAGACAATGACAGCGAGACAATGGTGCCTGTATACATTTTATTTGACTTAAGTTAATAAAAATACACATATAGCTCTGTGACTGGCATCAGTTCTCAGTGGATGTTCCTGAGGCCTGGTTTGCAGAACACCTCTCTTCCGGGGTCTGGGCCAGCATCCCTCCCTTCCTGTGCTAAACCACAGGAAAATGGCAACAATCTGGAAAGAAAATAGTCCAAATGCGTGGTTACAGCCATCACGTTTCCAGGAGCTTGTAAAAAGGCAGACGTTTAAATGACGCAGAAAACTATTCCCCAATGAGCAAGTGATGAGGAGCAACACTTTTCTTTACAAGTGTAATTACAGTTAAATGCCTTCACAAAGGTGTTGCTCCGTATATGAAAAAAAGTCCAGCCCAATGTGTGAGAGAGATTTTCGTTTGAATTATTGTGTAAGGAATTGACAAATACTAAAGAAAAAAAGTCCACAATTTTTATATATAGATAGGTGTATCAAGTCATCTTTGCTCGCTCTAAAATAAAACAACAGTTACATTTTATGAGCTAAATGATACACATATTAATAATTAGTCTTTATATCATAATTAATAATTCACCACAATAATGCCACTTTTTAATTGCCTACACCTGTACATCTCGTGATCAAATAATTATGGGTAATTAACAAAAAGCATTGTTTAAAGAAGTAAACTCTGAATTTTTGTATCATATCCGATTTAATGACAATATGTGTTTCGTATCGTATCATATGTCTCGACATGTTCGAATGTTTTACCGATAAAAGAAGTCAATCAATAAACCAATAAATGTCATTCGTCAGTGGAGGCTTAGTAACAAGATCACCTTCAGAGCAGGTAACGGCAGGTTTAATGTAAAACCGTTTAAAGCATTTTGCCTTGTTAAACCTCTTGAACACGCAAAAAGCAGATGAGCCAAATTATATTATTTCATAAATAAATGAAATAGGCTCTGGAGTTTGTTTGCACAAAATCAAAAGCCAATCCACCGATAATCACGCACACATAGCCTAAACGTTACGTGCCTCATTCGGCCTAAAACGTTGATTTGAGAAAAAGCCATGATTCACAATAGACTTATGTATCCATGTTTACAATCATATTTATTGGTTTTAATACGGAAGCAGCTTGGACCTCTAAACCCTGTTTGTCCAATTTATCCTCATATTCATAAAAGCATAAACGAATATAGCTCGAGAATGATATCAACGGGAAAAAGACTGACAGCGACCCTCAAAGTAAGTGGACATGCATGACTGTTAATGGCTGCTTTAAATGTCTTAAAGACACCTGCATGCGCTCACCAGCTCCCACGGGACCTCACGACAAAACGCCTGTTTACTGGAGAATGCTCCTCTAACTACAAAGAGAAATAATACATATCTGTCAGGTTAATATCCTTCATCTTAATATTGTACTAAGATATCCAAAATAATTCATAAATAATAAATAGAATTACATTATTGTGGGAAAACCCGGCAGCCTGGATTATAGTTTTTAATAATGCGAAACGCAAAATAATGCAAATATTTAGGCTATTGAGTTTTCAATCCGGCTAATTTCCGACAGTACCTTTCCACATCTGACTCCTATCTTTGGATGTGTCTAGCAGGATCTATATTAAGTGCCAATTGTAGAAAATGTTGCGCCTGCCGCTTGATTCTGACAGAACGCCTACAGTGTTACAATGTACATTAAAATGCAATGATTGTGCACATGCAGTTCAGATGTATACGTAAAACAAATAATTCAACAGAATCATACTTACGTGAGTGAACCGGTTGCTTTGTCGTTCCCTGCTTGCTTTACCTGCACATAAACTGCCATGAAATACTGACGTCTACAAAACCTATTTAGACATAAAACCCAAACAATGCATTGTTTCGAGAGAGTTTATATGAATATACCATCTCTGTGGATCCCACGCTTTCAATCATACATACAGCATTTCTACTCTTTTTACATTACACACATACACACACTCTCGCTCTCTCCCTCTCTCTCTCACACACATAGACACGCATGCACGCACGCACGCGGGAGCTCCTGGCCGTCTGGAGTCTAGCGCGCGGAGACTCGGGTGGCTCTCAACATTGAAACTGAACACACCTTTTACATATTTATAGAACGCACCTAAATTAATAATGTTAATAGTTTTTTTTTATTTAAATATGAGGCACTTACAAATGTTCTTGCATCCACGTCAGGTACAGTGACTTTCACAATAAATTACTATTACAAAATGAGTAATATGCCCAGAGAACGTCCATATAATTTAACGTTCTGAACAACACGAATAATAGCTATACATAAATCATTTATTTTATGAAGGAATATGCTTCATATAATGACATATTTTGCAACGATATTTTCATGCTTTTAAAATCGTCGTCGGGTGCATTAAATGTTCGTGATCACCTTGCGTATGAGGGCTGCGACCTTGACCCCATCCAGGATTCAGTGTCCAGTCTCGTACCGAATTCCGCAGGTCCCTGAAAAATAGCACTTATTCCTCCTCAGGAGCTCAAGAAGGGGAGGTGGGGGGCGATCCGAGATGTTGCGGAGCGAGTGGAGGAGGAGGGAAAGAGATAAGTGATCTAAAGGAGACACGATAGGACAAAAAGTGATGATGATGAATACATTGGAAAGTTTTTGGCCCTGACGAGGGTGTCAGATTGAATGGCCTGTGCGCATGTGCGAAGGTGTCCAAACTGACAATGCTCGTGAGATGAAGATAGCGCTGCTGCTGCTTCTGAGCTCAAGGAGGACGCGAGGAATCTACAAGCCGACAAGATGAGATCCAAGGCGAGGGCGAGAAAACTGGCCAAAAGTAGGTCCTTCTTGCGCTTCTTTCGCTCCTGAGCGGCCGCGCGGTACTTTGAACCCTTGCGCACATCACCAAAGTGTCATTTTCATTGATCAGTTCCCGCTGAGAGCGTGTCTTTGTCCGGTGCGTTTGTTTTTCAGGTCTCAATTGCATTGAAATCGCTCAAACTCTCCGTGATCCGCGCGTAACCAGATGCTGCCGTAGCGTGCTTGTTCAAAAGTTTCGTTTGTGATGGTGCTTTGGCTGAAATGATCAGGAGAGCGTTTCCACGCCGTGCTGTTTCCCCTCTCGTGTTTTAGCGAGGTCGGGAAACCGTAGAGAATTGTTACACGAAAGTTAGCGGAGAGTTGTCGAAAGGGATAGTAACTTTTTTTTTTTATTGAGTGGTTCCAGGTCTTGTGAAATCATATTCCTGCTTGTTGAAATAGTGGGCGCTGTAGCACTGCTCATGGACCCCAGGACGCACAGACCGAGTGTGTGGAGATCTCCAGAGCTTTCTGCCTGCTCACTGGATGCCATGGAAGAAGGAATATGAAACAAAAACGGGACAATTCTTCCGATAATCTAGAATTAGGGGGTTGCATTTAGGAATCCTTGTCCTCTGGGGGTCTGTTGCGGCTCGGCAATGGCAAATCAATAATGCATATAGTCTGTGGCGTATTTGAAGAAAATAGAGTCAGCTGTTTTCTGGACTCGAGGAAAAGTGTGTAAATCTCCTCTGGACTCGGCACGATGTCTTTGCTTATTGTTTGTTTGGCTTTCTTTTGTATTACGACTTGTTTGTAATAGGTAGGATTTCACAGTCAAACTGCTTTCTTACATCGAGTGCCCGTCAAACTTTTTGCATGCGACATTCAGAGCAGTTTATTAGAAAAGGCTTCATTACAACATTAAATTGCAACACGATTTAAGTTTATTAATGAAGTATAATGTTACGAGGTTATGTTTTGTCATACGTTTCCAGAGGAAAATAATAAATAAAAATCGATTTATTTTTAACTGAAGATAGCCTGGACCTATAGTAAGCTACACTGCGCAGTTTTAAAAATGTTCCCCTTATATGTTTCAACGACGTTTATTACAATATGAAGACATTTTAGTATCTGAACATAAACATATGCAGTAAAGCCCGCGTGGGCCTGGTGACCTGTTGATTCATTTTGCTGGAAGAACAGCATAGGTAGGCTACTATTCAGTTTGTTTTGGGACAGAAATGTGGGCCTTGGTATTTTGTCATGCACACTTCCACACTTCTGTAGCGCACGAGACTTGTTTTGCGATGACTCACGAGAATCGCTATTAACAGGTCAGACTGTCGTTTTTCGTGTTTTGTTGTTGGTCATTCAAAATTAATTCGGTTTTGTTGTTTGGAGGTAGTGATAGTGACACGACAACTCTCCCGAGTGTTAAATATAGCCTATCAAACCTTCTTTTATATACATTTCAATGTATTTATTGTGCATTTCTCAGAGAAAATATAGTTTCGTTTTGTGTTTGAGGGCCTGGTCTCTCAATTTACAAAACAAGCGCTTATTAAAGACTATTGACATGGCGCAGGCTGTTCATGCTTTCCTTATTTTATTTATAACTTATAATTCATTTCGTTTCTTTGAATAGCTCGCCAGTGTTTTGCTCTTCCAGATTTATATTCGACAGATTTACTTTATGACTGCATTCAATCTGTGTGCGATATCATTGAGTTATGATGTTTATTAGTCTACGGGATCCCGCGTTCACAATAAGCTCAGTTGCTCGCGAATGCATAAAGATATAATATGCCTACATTTTCAAATTGTAATGTGAACAGTGCATGACAAAGACAGATGATATAACAATGTGTGTATTAATATTATTATTAATGCATTATTATTTAAATGAAGCCTACATTGTTTTCCCCTTTTACATAAAAATATTAAACGCAAATAATGTAATATTAATACATTGCAAAATTATTATTTTTATTGTAGGCCTAACTCGAGAGTTTGCCGTCTCGTCAGTATCAAAAGAAATAGAAATTGCCGAGAAGCTTCTTAAAGGCTACACGTTTTTAAAAGACAGCGACGGTCATTGCTTTTAATTATTTCTCATACCTCACAGCAATCAAATATGTCATAGCCATAATTATGTTTAATTAAACGATATTATAACAGGTTAATGTGTGATCCGAGTAAGGCACAACCCCCATCTGGCGACTGGATCATCTGATATTAGTGAACGAATCAAGTGGCCATAAACGCAGGTATTACAAGAGCTTGATTCATAATATTAGGCCATTCATTCATTTTCGACGAGAGTTTAATGCTTTCTATTTTAACATTAATAATCTGTGGTTTTATTTACAACCACTTAGTACAAGCTTTGCCTTTGATATATTATTACACGGTATTTAAGTATAGTTTCACAGAGAAATTAGTTTGTTCTGGCGCCCATATTCGGCCGATATTCTCTCTCTCTCTCTCTCTCTCTCTCTCTCTCTCTCTCTCTCTCTCTCTCTCTCTCTCTCTCTCTCTCTCTGTAATTTATTTAAACCATTAGTACATTTTTCAATGGGTAAAATCATTTAAATTAAACTGTAATGTTAGGGGACAAAAAATGGTGTACTTCGTGTAATATATTTATAATAATATTGGAAACAAATAGGACTTGTTTTGAAACCATATACAGCTGGAGTTTCGTCGAATCAATAATGAACTCAAACGAGGCCTTGCTCTGTCACGAAAAACAATGTTGAAAACTATTTTGAAAGAAATTTTTCTGGGTTCGACCGACAATATATGCTTTCATCAATTTATTAATAATTTCAGTCGGATCCGACTCTTGATTTATTCTATAGGCCATCTCCCGCCATACACGAGACGAGACTGTCCATTATTTTTTTTTTTGTCGATGATTTTTCCGGGGTTATACATACAGGCTAATTGACGTCACTGAAAAAAAAAAAATAGTTTTTAAATTATGACAGCACATATGCACATTTTTTACGATACACAATTTATTTATTTAGCACATTTCAAACATAGGCTATTTAATTTTGTAATATACTTGTAATATTACTTATTATTCATATTTATTTTTAACTTATAACATAGCAGGGCAACATTTGTTAAACGTTCTGTCCCCTATTTAACTGAAATGTGGGCTTTTTTTTTTAGCTGTTTACATTATGATGCTGTCATTGAAGAGAAAATGTTGCACATGGAAATAAAATAGCAATGGATAACAAATCAAAAAGTTATTCTGCAGCATATGTTGTTTTGACAAGTCATAATAAAAATCAAGCCATAACACTGTAAAGCAACAATAGCGTGTGATGTCTTGCTAGAGGACGCAGTCTGTCAGCACTCAAAACTGGCCTTTTACTGGCAAAATGGCTGACATTTCACTTCAAGCTAGTTGACTGTGTATATGTGCACAATATGCATTCACAGATGAGAGCTGGAGTACAGATTAATGGTGCATGAGCCATTAGAGATGTATTACTCCTCGCGTGCAAGTTTGTGTTTGATAAGAAGCTCTTGTTAAAAGCCATATGAAAGTGCCAGTTAGACTGGAAGAACTGTGAGAAAATCATTTAATGTGTGTGTGTGTGCAATGCAATAAGGTGAGCATAATTCAATGCACACACACACACAGGTGAGAATGTCTTTGTTCCAACGCTGATGTAGTGACTGACATTAAACATAACGAAACCAGTTTGTTTTGTATTTGATAATGTTACAATCATCTTGGCCTGTAATATACTGCACATAATGTGCATGCATACACATATCTGTCCTCAATGGGAGCCTGTAGGACAGCTTTTGACCGGACGGCATGCTTAGTTAACCCCAATCTTGAGCGAGAGGAAAGGTTGATGGGTGGCTTATGGAACGCAGGCAGAACTGGCCCTGTTCCCCGTCGAGAACACATGCCCACCTGAGCTCAGCTCACCGCGTGAACCGCCCTGTTCCTCCCAAAGGTGCATGAGGCAGCTCCATCTCAAGCTTGCTCACATTTGTCACACGTCATTCATTCTACTCGTTTTTTTTTTCTTTTTCTTTTTACTGTTATTGTTCGCTTGTGGCACCTCTTTATGACATCACAGTGACTCGCCGGTGGGAGGGCCGTTTCCGCGTGTGTCTAAACACTGTTTCAGCTGTCCTCTGCCGCACTGGAACCGCACACCTTTTTTTTCTTTTTTCTTTTTCCCTTTTCGTTCACCCAATTGTAGGATAAGTCTAAGCCTATCACTTGACTGTGTTTTGGCAGTCATGCGCATACCTTAAGGATGACTTTAGTGTCTTGCTGTGTTTCCTCCCAGCATAACGCATTTTATTTGTTTCTCAAGCCTTGTTTTTTGAGAAAGAAAACAGTATTTTTAAGAACAGGCCCTCATGCTGTGGAGCAGAGAAGGGTGCAGCGGGCAGAAGGGGAAAGACAGCCATTACAGAACTGTTAAAGCCATGTCTGAGAGAGAGACGTGCTTATCATGTTACAGCCCAGGCTGTCTGCAACTCCTTGGCTGCAGAAGTGTGTGTTTTTTTAAGGTGTTTGAGTGAATTGTAACTCATTATTCTTTTTTTTTTTTGCAATGCATTTTTTTATTTTGAATAATTAAATTGCTGAAAATATTTTCATTGACTTTTTGTAATTATATGTTTCAGTCTGTTTGGAATTTTTCAATATTTTTATTAGTGTCACAATATATCGCAATATAAAAATGCAATTATGGATTGTGGATAGTTCACCCAAAATAAAAATGACTGTGTGAGAAAAAGTGTGTAAAGAGTTTTGGTGTCAGTACTACATTAAACTACTATATATAATGTTCATTATAATACATGAGTCCTGATAATGACAAATGTCTTATGTAACCAGTAAAAAGTGGCCTACATTATTTTAAATTTAGACAGGGTGCAAGCATATTCATCTAAACTAATTATGTATTTTCAGCTTCAGAATCATGAATATTTTTATTCTGATGTGATATTGTCCTGTGCATTGGGTTATCAGCAATCAAATTT